CTGTCTGAAGGAGAACGGCAGCAAGTATTCCAAATACCCGCAGCTAAACTGCGCTCCCAGATCCACCTTTGCCTGGATAAAACGCTGATCATGGAAAACAAAAATGCCACGTGCAGAGCCTGGGACCAGGCCAGGAAAGTCAGCGGTGGAGGGATGGTCCCTCTACCAGCTCCAGGTGCTTAAAGCTTCGACTCTCCCACTCGCTTTGATTTTTTCCCTTCAATTCATGAGAGAGAGACCGTAGGGAATGAGTCTGTGTTTGCCCAGGGGTCAGTCTGGTTATCGGGAGGGCAGCGGTTATTAAAAGGCCTGAGCTAAGCGGTGGTTTTAGAGAGCCCTAAAGCAAGATAATCATGTTGTAGGTAGGAAGGAACCACCTCTGTTTCCGACAAGCGTGAGGACAGGATCCAGCCTTCCCGGAGCCCTGAACGCAGCCGTGGCTTCAGGCATCCACCCGGGATAAATGCCCTGTTTCTGGGCAGCCGGGCTCTTCCCAGGGGGAAAAAGAGGGAATTGCAAGCGGGTTGTAGCCCTGGGGTCCTCCTTGTCCTGCTCGCGGGAGATTTCCAGCCACGGCGGCTCCCGCTGAGGCCGATGGAACGGAGCGGGCAGGAAACGCAGGGTTAATTCAGAGGGACGAAATAACCGTCGCTTCGGTGACCGCCCCGTCCCCCCCTGCGAACGGGGTCAGGGGGATTTGGGAGGCGAGGGGGCAGGGAGCGGGTCAGGAGGGTCGGGGGAGGCTGCGCTGCCGCCGCGCGGCCCTGCCAGACCTATTCTCCATGGTGCATTTCCCATTCAGCGGCGCTCAATGCGCCCTGATGGCTGTGAAAGGCTCTGGCACCGCATGAAGGGCCCTTCGGCGGGCGCTCGCTCCCACCCTTTCTTCCAAAGGGCTTCCAGGGAGCGCGGAATTAACAACGCTCATCAAGAGCCCCTTGGAAGGTTGGAAATGTAGCGGCGGGGATATGAATGGAAACCCGACGGCAGCGACACCCTCCGCGCTCGCTGCTGCCCATGGGGAATAACCCACGGCATCAAATCCATGAAGACGAGGGGAGCTTCGGCCCCAGCGCCCTGCCCGGGGGTTATCCAGATTTGGGAGTTTGCTCCCGTGTAAGAAACGTTATTGCAGAGCTTTGACAGGTTGTGCGTGGTTGTTGAGTCTAATCCTGCATTGCCCAAGGGTTGTTGCAGCTGGTTGTCCATCCACCACAGCACGCGGACGGGTGTTGTCAATCAGAAGCGGCTCCCGAGCTTACAGGTGTCTCTTGTCCCTCCCGCAGCCCTGTGACGGCGGGGTCGGAGGGACAGGCTGTGGGTCCAGGAAAAAGTGAGCTTTTCTCTCTATC